CTGGGAAAACTCCTACAAGATAATGACTCAGCCCCACCCCACCTTCCTAAGTAGATATAAATTACCGGCCTACCATTCTTCTTCTCACCTTGACACAGAGAGTACTCCATCTTTCTGTGTTATACCTCTGAGGATGCCCGTCACAGCTGCTGGTGAAACATCAGGTCCTACAATGCCAATTGTAGCCCGGGAAATCTACAGGGCCCAGTGAACTCCGGCCATGAAAGCCTTCGGCCACATATTGCATTGCAGTTTGTGGGACGTCTTTTAAAAGGAGCCTCCCTCTCTGGCCTTGCGCCGCTTTAAAGGTTCTTGGGGATCACGGGAGCAAGTCGCAGCCTCTCCAGCAGCCTCAGCAGCCGTCGCAGCCTCAGCAGCCTCCCCAGCAGCAGCCGTTTGCACCACCGACGGGGCCTCCCCTAGGCGGTCCTCCTCCCATAGGCGGTCCTCCTCCGCCACACTTCCTCCACCCGCCACCGCCACCGCCAGTTACTGCCGTCCCACCGCCTCTCCATCCTCCAGGTAGGTGCCGGGGGGGTGGGGGGTGGCATGTGCAGTTCACTAATGGAGTTAGGGCCTTAAGCGCCATCTGAAGCCCCTCGTGGCTCTCTGTCAACAGCTGATGAGTTGAGAGTCGGGTGGCTGTCCTGCGAGCTCCCAGTCCTGTGTTCTCCAGGGTGGTGCTTCCCTATCCTCTTTGTGACTCTACCCTCAAAATTAAAGTTGGAAGTGTGCCTCTTTGCTTTTTTTTGGTATAGTGGTTGGTGTAGTGGTTAAGTGTTCAGACTCTAATCTGGGAGTAAGAATGTTACCAAGTCTCTGTACCGGAAGTGTGCCTCTTTGCTCTTAAACTGCACATGGGTTTGCATTTGGAATGTGGAAGAATAAGAATGACCCTTTCAGGAGCCCACGCTCTGTCTTTTGGTGCATGTCACTGTGGACGTGCTTCTGAACTGGAAGAGTCCAGAGCCGTGATTCATTGTGAGATGCAACGGGCACGCTCCTCTGAGGGCAGGTAATTCTGTCGTGTCCCTGAATAAAATGTGACCAACCCGAGAAATACAGCAGAACTACCTGACCTTAGAGGAAGCTGTTTGGAAGGAAACATGGTCAGAGCAGTGACTCAGACAGAGTTCCAGCAGGCAGCCTCCACTGGGGGGTGGCTTTAAACTTCTGAGTGCTTTTTAATTACTGGACTCAAACTTTGTTCTTTTAATTACTGTGTTTTCCCCCTCTGGCATGTTAACAATTCTCTCACAGCACTCAAGTGTCTCAGCACACTGTGCTGGCATTTGAGCTCTGATTATTCATAGACCACCCCCACCCCCCAGCTCCATCTTCATGCTCCTCGTCTTTGTTACTTTTAGGCTGATTCCAGGGGTGGGTGGGTGTGTTCCCCCAAGGGCACTACGATCGGGGAATCAAAATCTCCTGGATGTTCCAGGCCCCAAGACTATCAAATTCGCGATGACCAGGGCTAGGGCGTTTTCGGTGGTGGCTCCTATCTGGTGGAATGAGCTCCCAGAGGAGATCCGGGCCCTGCGGGACCTTGTACAGTTCCGCAGGGCCTGTAAGACGGAGCTCTTCCGCCAGGCTTTTGAATAGGAGCCACCACCACCACTGCTCCATCAATGCCCTATATTCCGCACATTGCCATCGTTGGTGCGGGTACCATCGGAGGGAGCGGGACGTGCCTAGGGGACAACAGTGGAGTTATGCACTGCTGTGAGTAGCCATACCATCGAGAACACCATCTTGACTTAAAATTCGGAAGTGAGTAGGGGAGCACCGAAAATGTTTTATGAATTCTGTTTTAACTATTTAATTGTCTATTTTGTATTGCTAGTATTTTATACTGTTTTATTGTTATTATCTGGCGTTACGCCTCTGTTAGCCGCCCTGAGCCTTTGGGGAGGGCGGGATATAAATCCAAATAAATAAATAAAGTATGAGTTTTGCCGCGCAGGATCCAGTCTGTGGCTCACAGGCCGGCACGGCACGGCTGCTCTGGATGGGCCCCGGGGGCCCAGTCGGCACAAGAAGCTGTGCAGGAGCAGCATATCGTGAGGGAAGGGCATCTTTTGCCCTGACAGCATCTTTTTCTTTTTTTAAACTGAGCCTCAGGCTTCAGTCCCAGAAGCACTTAACTGGGGACACAAGATCTGTTGAGAGCAATTGATTTTATGCCTCCGTATAGGATTGCCGGAACCTAAGGGGACTCGGGCGGACAAAACCCACGGATCTGGTCTCTCGTTTCTCTGCTGCTACAGAAGGGGGCCATCACTCTTTGGCAGAGTCCAGGGTGGGAGTTCTTCAGTGAATCTTGTCTTAGCTCACGGGACTAGACAAGACCACAGAGGTGCTGCCTCTTGGACGAGACAGACCAGGGGTCCCTTTCTGGATAAGGCAGCTTCACAGCAGATCTTGGTTCCTTCTCCCGACAAAGGGAACCCAATCCACCTGGCTATGTCATCTCTACCAGGGTTATGACTGTTTGTGCCATAAGGAGGGCTGTCAGTGTCTTTATTCGGCTTTTCAAATCGGCCTTCCAAAGGGGCTCGTGGGAATCAGAAGTAAATGCCGTGTCCCGCACACGTTGGAGGGGATTCATCTAGGTGCAAAAGAGGGGCTGCCCAGGTGCTTGCTTTTTGCAAAATAATTGTCTCTGTCCTCAGTGTTCTCTCTTTGCTTTGTGCAGGTCTTCCACCACCAGGCCCCATTCCAGGTACATACCTCTGTGTACTCTAAATGACAGTAGCAAGTTTGTGTCTTAGTGGATCTTGCTGGGGAACGGAGCAGTTCAGTCCACAGAGTGTGAATTGTTGCTGGGTAACTTTGGGCTTGGCAGTGATGCTCAAGCTATGTGGTGCCCCTCTCCACGTGGAATAGGGTTGCCAACTGGGGTAGGAAATTCCTGGAGATTTGGGGGTGGGGCCTGGGGAGGACAGGGGGTTTGGGAAGGGGAGGGACCTCAGCAGGGTACAAGGCCACAGAGCCCCCCCCTCCAGAGCAGCCCTTTTCTCCAGGGGAAGTGATCTCTGTAGGCTGGAGATCAGTTGTACTTCTGGGAAATCGAGGCTAGCAACCCTGCCATGGAAACAGGAAGTACTTTGGGGCATTGCAAAGTTCCAGGCAGAGACAGTATTTTGAGATGTGTGAAGCTTTCATTTCTTCTCTCCCCCCCCCCTGCCTTTTAGCCAACATCTGGGTGGGAGGAATGTCATTAGACCCTCACCCGCTCTCCTTAGATTTGTGGTGTCAACTGTCCTCTCATCCCAAAAGATTTTGGGGGGAAGGGCGCTTCTGCTTCCATCTTCTGGATGTTTTCCTGTGCCCGGTTTCAGGAGGAGGTCAGAGAGCTTCATTTCTAATGCCAGGGTCTGAAAACCTTAAACTGTGTCGTAGCGAGCTTCCTGCACACAGTGACATGCCAGGATCTTTGCACAATCAGCCGTAGAACCCCTGGGTGGGGATGCCAGCTGATGAGGAGCGGGCTGATTTCTGAACATTTGCGGAAAGTGGGGGATGGCCATCTCGACGAAGGCTCCGAGTCCTCCTCCTCCTCCCGAGCTGCCGTGGATGCAGAATCCTCCTTTGTCAAAGAAAACGGAGCATGCCGGGCCCAGAGCGTCTCTTGCAGCCTTATTGCTGGAGCTTGGCAGATCCGGTCCTGGTGGATACCTGGACGGGAAACCACCTGGCAGGCCTAGAGATGCAGCTCTGCGGAGAGGCCAGAATCCCAGTTGTGGGCCTTCCCTCCCCTCCCCTCCCCTCCCCACGATGAGAAGTGAGACCCACCCTGTGTGCTTCACAGAGCCAGTGTGGTGTCGTGGTGAAGTGCGCGGACTCTAATCTGGGAGAACTGGGTTTGATTCCCCGCTCCTCCACTTGCACCTGGCTGGATGGCCTTGGGCAAGCCGTAGTTCTGATAAGAGCTGTCCTTGGCGAGGTATAAATCCAATCTCTTCTGTTCTTCTTTTCTGCACCTGGCTGGATGACCTTGGGCAAGCCGTAGCTCTGATAAGAGCTGTCCTTGAAAAAGAGCAGTTTCTGTCAGCACTCTCTCAGCCCCACCTACCTCACAGGGTGTCTGTTGTGGGGACGGGAAGGGAAAGGAGTTTGTAAGCCGCTCTGAGACTCCTCCGGGTAGTGAAGGACACGTTTTCCAGTTCTTCATGGGGGGGGGGGGAGATTACAAGGTTGGGGATCTGCACAGTACGATGTTGGGACAGGATGGGAAGAAGCTTTGCCCCGGGTCCCTCGAGGATGCGGAGGTGCCTTTTTCACTGGAAGAGTGAATGATGTAATGACTGTACAGGGCCCAGACACGACTCAGCCTTTCAACGCATGTCCTCCCTTGCAGGGTTGTTTCCTCCGCCTCTCGCTCCACCACCGGCCCTCCTCATCCCAACACTTGATGGGTAAGTAAGAACAGAACGGAATCCATTGAACTGCTAAGGGAAGAGCTCGTTCACAGTGCCCCCAGCCTGTTGCCGTCTCCATCCAATATCGTTACCCCTCGAAAGGCTCCAGATTTCAGCAGCTGTCCCTGTGGCTACTAGGTTGGTTTGGGGTCTGGTTGGTAGGCCCTGGGGACCTGCCACAGACCTGGGAAGGGAATTGGTAGGCAAATCTCCCCATCCCCAGGCGATGATAGGGGTCACTCTTGTCCACTGACTCATTTAGAGTAGCGACAGGGTGTCCCTGGGACTTCCAGGTTTTCACAAACGTGTTCTTGCGGTTTCTCCAGCGGACTTTCATCACAGGTTTTTACAGAGTGTTGCTAGGGGAGTTTTCTGTTCTCTGTCCCACTCCATGGACTGAAACTTCAGTCCCTGCAGTTTCAGACTCGGCTCCTGTGCATTTGAGGGGAGGGAAATGGCATTTGCCAGACTGTCCTTGTGCTAGAAGCTGACCATGAAGACAGCTAAACAAGATGGAACCCCTCAGATAAAAGCCGTGTTTTGGCCTCTGGTGCCTCGAGAACAGCATGGCAGGTGCCGGATGAGCATGAAGCAAGGGAGGGCATTCCGCGGGTATGGGGCCAGTCCTGAGAAAGCCCTGTCTCTGGTTGCCCCCTGTCTCACCTCTGTAGGGGGGGCGGGGGCGCACAAAGAACAGGGCCTGAGGATTGTAACTGGTGGAAGAGGAGGTGGTCCTTCAGGGATAACTTGGCCTTGCAAACTTTATTTCTTATTTATTTATCTGAGCTATACCCTGCCCTCCCTGCCAAAGCAGGCTCAAGGCGGCTTACGTAAAAATTTGTAAATAGATAAAATAAACGAATCAAAATATAAGTAAAAACATGACATAAAGTGCTAGTATAGGACAATGGCGAAGCGTTGGTAGTGTCAGCATAATAGGAGTACAGTCAGTAAATTAATCTTATGGTGATCTCTCAGTCCCGGCCATTTTGGTGGAGCCCGGCTGTCGATGGTGGCGTTGATGGTATTGGGGCCAGGGCCTTAATCCATTAAGTGCAGCTCATTAGTCGAAGGCTCCATCTTACAGGCCCTGTGGAACTGTAAAAGGTCCTGCAGGGCCCTGAGGTCTTCTGGGAGCTCATTCCACCAGCGTGGAGCCACCACTGAGGAGGCCCCGGCCCTCGTCGTGGTCAGCCTGGCCTCTCTAAGGGCCGGAAGGGCCAGGCAGTTTTGGGACCCTGATCATTGTGCTCTCTGGGGAACATGCGGGGAGAGGCGGTCCCTCAGGGAGGTAGGCCCCCGACCATAAAGGGTTTTAAAGGTAAGAACCAGCACCTTGAAGCAAATTCGGAACGCTGTGAGCAGCCAGTGCAATGCTTTTAGCACAGGCTGGATGTGCTCCCGCATAGGGAGGCCCAACAACAGTCTGGCCACCGCTTTCAGCACCAGCTGCAGCTTCCAAATTTGGGACAAGGGCAGCCCCATGTAGAGAGCATTACAGTAGTCCAACCTCGAGGTGACCGTCGCACAGATCACTGTCGCCAAGTGGTTGCATTCGAGGATGGGAACCAAGAGCCTGATCAGCCAGAGGTGATAAAAGGCCGACTTGGCAGTGGCTGCTACCTGGGCCTCCATTGTTAGGGAGGCATCCAAGAGCACTCCCAGACTCCTAACCTCTGGCGCTGGTACCAACGGCACCCTGTCAAAGATTGGGAGTGGGATCCCTCCCCTCGGGCCACTTCGACTCACATTGTCGGATTCAATTTCAGTCGGCTCAGTCCAAGCCAACCAGCCACTGCTTGCAGCACCAGGTCCAGACCTTCCAGACTCGAGTCAGACTGGCTGCCCAACAAAAGATAGAGCTGGGTGTCGTCCACATTTTGGTGACATCCAGAGGTCATTTCGGGGGGGATCGCGGGGGATCGCAGTTCCCCCGGGTGAGGTACGGGGGGCAGGGCACATGACGAAGCCCCGCCCCCTGCTTCCGGCCACCCCGCTTCCGGCCCTCATTCAGCCAGGAGGAGGCAGGAGAAGAGGGAGGGTAAGTTGCTTCCTCCCTGCCTCTCCCCACCCCTGCCTGCCTGGGGCCAGGGAGGGCCTTCGCAGGGCTTCCTTGCACTCCCGCCGACCTTGCATGTCCACCGCCAGGCCCCTTGTGGGGCTCGGCAGTGGAGCTGCAAGGCCGGCTACCTGGGCAAGGAGGCACATATAGATGTTGAATAACATCGGGGAAAGCACCGCCCCTTGAGGCACTCTGCAAACTAGTGGGTGCCTTTGGGACAGCTGTTCCCCTACTTGCCACCCTTTGTCCCCGACCCTGAAGGAACAAGGAAAGCCACCGCAAGGCAGACCCCTGGGTCCCAGTCAATGTTCCCTCTAAGCTGTGGAGTCTTGTGAGCAAAATTCTACTTTGTGAGCTACTGGCATTAAAGTTGTGAGCGAGCAATTTGGCCATTGCATAAATTAGTTTGCTCTAAAGCCATCCTTCCTGAGCTAAGACAAAAATGCGTGAGCCGGAGGCTAAAAAACTGTGAGCTAGCTCACACTAACTCAGCTTAGAGGGAACACTGGTCCCAGTGTCAGCGAGGGGGTGGATCAGTAGTTGGTGGTTGACCGTGTTGAACGCCGCTGACAGCTCCGACAACAGCAACACCACCGAACCGCCCCAATCCAGTTGCCTCAGAAGGTCGTCTGTGAGGGCGACCAGGGCTCTCTCTGTCCCGTGGCCTGGTCGGAAGCCGGACTGGGAGGGATCTAATGTGGAAGCGCCATCCCAAAAACCCTCCAACTGAATTGCCACGTGGGCAATTGGAGTGGGCAAATTGGAGACCGGCCGGTAATTAGCTGATTCGGCTAGATCCAAAGATGGTTGCAAGTGGTCGGGGCGTACAGTCGAGAGTAATTTGTTGACTCCCTGTAGGCTGAGTGGGCTGAAACAATCCAAAACCTGACAAGAAGACGTGGATGGAGCCTTGAGAGTCCCTTTACTGTCTCAACTGTGGTGGGAATAAATGGAGTAAATGGGGCTTATAGTTTTGCTGGAATGGAGGCATCTCACCCAGGAGACTGCCATAACCTGTGGCCCTGCTCTTCTCCTGCATGTGGTTTAACCTCCCCTAGAAAGCAGGAGCACAGCAGACATTGTAAGAAGGCAGGGGGCAGAGAAGACTCGTCACGGAGGGCGGGGCTGTCCGTGCCCAGTGACTTCTTGTTGCCCCTCCCAGTGGAGGCTACTCTTGAACCTACTCTCCAGTTCACAGTCCCTGCACACCAGGGGTCCTCAGTGGGGTGGGCCCCGTGGCGCCTGCTGATGCCTTTCCTGGCACCCGCCAAGTGTTCTAGAAAGTGGGTGGGGCCAGGTGCGGCTTTCCCCAGGTGCTGGACTGGGTGGGCCGTGGGCCTGACCCAGCATTGGCTTCTCTTCTGCTCTTCAGAGGGGCTTGCTAGAGGCCCTGATATCTCTCGCCTGGGGGAGGTGGTGGCATGTAGGAGGCCAGGATGCTCCATCTGAAGAAAGCTTTTCCCCACCCTCAGGGTGGGTGGTGGGCAGTAAAGGTTGCTAACTGTCTGGCTGTGTGTGTGTGTGTGTCTGCCTCTTGTCTCTTTCCTCAAAGCCAGCCTGCCAGCTTCAGCAACCGGCAGCCACCTCCGTTTGGCTACAGCTCCACAGGTGAGCAACTCTGGCACAGCTGCTGCCACGCGCCCCCCGGTGCTGGTCCCTGGGATTCTGGGGGCAAGCGGAGACTGTGCCGGGCCCCCCAGGGTTCTGGCTACTCCTGGGAAGGACCGGTTGCCCACCAGCTGCCCTCTGCCAGTCGACAAAGGCAGAAGGGTGAGCAGGGTGAGGCGGTTCTTCCCGGCCAGCCGCGCTTGGGGTCTCTCTGGTGCCATCCTTTCAGACTGGCGGCATCCTTCCTTGGGCTCTGGGGACCCCTCTTCTCCTCCAGCGGCCTGGCAGCCTTTAACGTTTGGGACCCTTCCCTCTCTCCGAATCCCTCCACTCTTGGCAGCGATCTCTCCTTTTGCCTCACGTCCCTAGATTTCCCCGGCACACGCTCGCGCCTTCCCGTTTCCTTTCGCAACTTTTTGATTTTGTTTGCCATCTCTCGATGTCTTTAGACCCAGATTGGTTCCCAAAGCAGCTCACGGTTCAGATATTTTATTTTTTAAATTAAAGCCAGTGGCTGAGAGACATGCTTTCCGTGGTGGAAGCCTCGCCAAACGCTGTGGGCTCTTCTGGGCCCCAGCAGAACTCTGCGCATCCAGGGCCGTCTGTTGGTAGAGAGGAGAGTGGGCCAAGCCTCCCCGGTGCCAGCCCTCGAGACTCGCCCCCAGATCCCCGCTGCTTCCGGGAGTCAAGGCTGGCCGTGCAGGGCTCAGGGAGGGCACCGGACACCCCGGGGAGGGGAGGGGAGGGGAGGGGAGGGGCGCTTCCTGCCCAGGGCTGCCCAGCATGCCTTTCCAGAGCATCCCGAGGACTGCTAGTAACTGCTGGCAGGGTCAGAACAGCTTGCCAAGATCAGACATGGTTCTCTCTCCTGTTGAGGACTGAGCCAGGGACTAGCTGAGTGCAAAGCCCTGAGGCATGGCCCCACTCAGCATTGGGGGTTTCGGGGAGGGAGGGACTGTAGCTCAGTGGAAGGGCCTCTGCTTGGCATGCAGGAAATTGCAGGTTCAATCCCTGGCAGCAGGGCTCTAGTCGGGGGGGAGCTCTCAGGTACGGAGCTCCGGAAGAGAACCTCTAGGGGGCGGGGCGGTCACGTGGTGAAGCTCCGCCCCCTTCTTTACCCCGCCCTCTGCTTCGATCCTCATTCCGTTTGGGAATGAGGATGAAGCAGGAGGGTAAGTAGCCGGGCCTTCTGACACACTTCCGGTGATGTCAGGGGGTGTGGCCTTCTGTCACTTCCGGTGATGTCAGGGGGCGTGGCATATGCAAATAAGTTATGCTAATGAGTTATGCTAATGAGCTCCGGCAGCTCTTTTTCTACAACAAGACCCCTGCCCGGCAGCATCTCCAGTTAAAACGATGAGGTGATGTGAAAGGCCTCAGCCGGAGACCCCGAAGAGCCGCTGCCAGTCTGTGTAGACAGGGCTGATCCTGGTGGACCACGGCGGGCCTGATTCAGCACAAGGCAGCTTCATGTGTGTTCATCTATGTGACATAACCTCAACCTTTGCCCCTTGGCTCTGATCAGCATCCCAGTTGGGTGCTGCAGCTCCGTGGCTCCGCAGGAGAGGGGTGCTCCATCCCTCCACCAGACGTGCACGATAGCATGCACCTGCAGGCAATGCTCCCTCTAAGCTGTGGAGTCTTGTGAGCAAATATTCTACATTGTGAGCTCCTGCCATTAAAGTTGTGAGCGAGCGATTTGGCTACTGCATCAATCAGTTTGCTCTGGAGCCCTCCTTCCTGAGCTAAGACAACAGTGTGTGAGCCAGAGGCCAAAAAACTGTGAGCTGGCTCATGCTGACTCAGCTTAGAGGGAACACTGCCTGCAGGTGAAGTCGTGCACTACTCTTGCTTCTTTGTGAAATGCCCACCTTTGGAGTGTGATGGAGTGATGTGGGGCACCTGGCTGCCCCTCCAGCAGACGAGCAGCAGTGCCCTCATAGGAGACTCCTGAAGCAGCCAGCCGAGAAGGGTGGCGCCCACCATTGCATGACCGAGGTCTGTCTCCCGTCTGCGCAGATTCAGGCTTCATCAGCTACCCACCCATTTCAACGTCTCACGCACCCTGGGTGACCACAGTGGACAAGGCCTCCAGCGCTTCCGACGGCGGCCACTGGGAATACTCTGGCTCCCGGAGGGAGAGGGAAA